CAACATCAATATTCCACTTGTATAGGATCTTTTCCTTTTTGTGTGGATACAGATTGTCCGACAGACTTGCGTCCGGCAGACTTGCGTCGAATCCCGACATCACGATCAAAGTCCGATCGCACGTGTCGAAAACCTTGTACTTGAATAGTTTCTTTTGGAACGTAAAAACTCATATTTCGTCATATCCCAACAGATTCGATTTGAATTTGAATATGAAATAAGCGCCCAAAAATGCCACAAAAATGCCACAACAAACAACATGATGGCCCGATCTATTGAAACCAAAGACCACTCAAGTCGGTTATGAAAGGGAAGATATGAGGGACAGGGGCCCAAGAGCTCCAAGAGTGGCAAGGAATCCCTACAATGGGCCATTCTACAATGTTTACATCAAAAACGCTGATGAGCACAATGCAAATGACATGGGCTACGCATGGGACCAGGAGAGCACACTAGCAAAATACAAAATGCTATGCCAAAGAAGGGGCAACATGGCATCTAAAGGCATACTTCACAAATGTCATGGTGTACATGAAAATCTTTAAACCCCACGGGCACATGGTACTTTGATTTCTGCTTTGTTCTTGGAAGATTGATTCCCGAAAAGGCCTTTGTTGGGAGTACAATTTGTAACAATTGGGAAAAATAATTTGATTTTGTAACTATGATATTATTAATATTTGAAATGGCTAGATTGAAAAAAAATCTCCCACTCAAAATCAACACATACTGCAGTAGAAAATGAGAAAAAGGAAGCAGTTGAAATCGTGGCAGTATTCGTGTTTTCCATGAATCCGGTGGCTTCCAATCTGAGAATTGTTGCAAAATTGTTGTGGAAAGGAGCAGCAAGAAGGCTTGCCAAGATGGTTCTTGCAAGAAAAAGAACAAGACAGTGCGGGGAAGAGAATGCAAAAGGAGAAAAAGCAACATGGCAAGAACACAAGAGATTCTGACAAGAAGAAGTCTGAGAAATTGTGGCCACAAGTGGCAATGCGGCACAAAATTGCCAGCAACATCATCAGTGCTGTAGCAGAAGAGAGTGAGCTCACTTCCAAGGAATATCAAGAAAAAATTGATGAAGTTACTCAGCAATGGGAATCTAAATTTGCAATAATTGCCCTCTTTATCAGCTGGGCCAAACATAGCAGTCGCCATTTCAACAACAATACTATATCTTTCATCCAGACTATCACAGATCAATGTAGAATTAGTACACTTGATCTCATGGAAGAAGTGAAATCATATCCTATGGTTTGGGCTGAAGGTGGCAATAGCTACCAAATGCAATTTGCCAAAACAAAAGGTCAAGACAAAGTGAGGCTCAGGCAGTAGCTCCTGGTATTGAACTTGTTGGTGGAGAGAAGAATTGATGTGATTCAAGACAATCTCAACGGAACTGCGCATAGAGGTGCCTGAAGCATTCAACATCTGATGATGTCCAGAAAAACTGCAGTCCGCGCACAAATCCATTCCTAAAGTACCAGGTGCCTTGTTGAATTTTGCGTAGAAGCAAAATGGAACCAAAATGCCTCCAAGATTTCATTTTTTCTCCCAATACGATCAACATCTGCAGACATCACCTTTTCAACACTACAGATACTGCTGCTGTAGAAATACATAAACAAAGCTAGCCTATTGCCTACTAGTACTTCCTATGACTCTTGTTTTTGACTCCTTGCCTCACCAGCTCTTCAAAAACTAAAGCTCATCCTGATCAACATCCCACTCAGCATCAACATTCATCACCATTGTCTAATTCATCAAAGCTGGCCATTGCCTCATCCACGTCTGCACAATCCATTCCCATGTGCTGTATCTCTTTGCGGTTAACCTCAACAGTGCCATCAAACTCTACAATAAAGTTTGCACTTTCAAATATGCCACCTTGCTTTTGGATGATAACATCCATTACCATTCCACAAACACCTTTGACAGCAACTGGGAAATCCTTGTAGGCATTCATTGCAACAATCAACTGAGCCTGAAGTGCTGCAGTCTCTCTGGCAAGAATGGCAGCCTTGAGCTTTTTCACTTCAGCTTTTGACTTCCATGAACTGTTTGATTCTTGACACCGGGTTGTTCAGTTGCCCAGCCCAATCATGTTGTATCACACCATTAAGTTTGTTGATCAAAATGGCACGAACTTGTTCCACTGAGACTTTTGCAGGGTTTTGGTTTTGGCCATTCTCCCATAGCTCAATCATAATAATAATAATAATAATAATAATAATAATAATAATAATAATAATAATAATAATAATAAATCTGATGCATTAATCATGTTAAAACTATCTCAAGTTTCTAGATTGCCGTTAACGGCTGTCATGGCCATTTACCATACGGAGGTGAGTCCAGTACTGTTGA